TCAAACACAGACCCACAGAGGCAGACACAAAGACAAGGCAGGAAAACAGAGACGGGAAAGGATGAAAGAGGGAGAAAGAGAAGAATTGAACGTTAAGGACATTGTTCTTGAGCCTGTTTCCGGGGGCGCTGGGAGTACCCATCATTCACCTTCTAGTCAATACCTGTTGTTCTACACGAAGGAACCAGCGTAAACCCATGACAGGGTGTCATCAAAGCTCCCAGACAGGCCATAAACAAAAGCTCTTAAGGGCCCACTTGCTTTTATTTTACCTTTGTCCGAAGAACCACTGCCAGTATTGCCCCAGCTCTCCAGACTAAACTTAGCAACAGAAGAGTGGTGATGTGCAAAGCCCCTGCCATTCCTAAAACTGCATTTTCCTCCACTCCAGTCTCTTCCACATCCTCAAACTATTTTATCGCGATCAGAATCTCAAGTTTTCTTTTCCAGCCTACGCAAATGATCCTGGCTATGTTAGCGATTGTGAGCCTACTTCCATATGAAGAACCGTGTCTTTTATTGGTCTTACACATAGGGAATATAGCCTCAGTCAGTTTGTTTATTTCAATGACTCCATTTCAGAGCCATTCATCAGTATATAAACGCATAGAGTACGAAGTTCCCACCAATATTTAAGGATTATTTCTTAGGAGTTCACAAAACTTAGTGATCACCAGTGTTGATTAATAAATGTGCGTGTGTGTGTGTGTGTGTGTGTGTGTGTGTGTGTGTGAAACTGGCCACTGTTGAGAAGACAACACAGCTAAATTCCATCTGAACTTCACAGGATTCTTGAGTCAAATATTTCCTATGCAGAAAGGACAAGGCATCTCATTTTGGAAAAAGAAGATTTACAATGGTTCCTCCCCCTGCCTCCCTTTTAACATCACACCTCGTGAAGGGCAGTGCCGTGAAGTCTCTCACCTGACAAAGTCTCTCTCTAACATAGAAGAAACACAGCACCCAATTTTGTCAACCCATAAGTGGTTGGATTTCTGCACAGGTAATTAGATGCAAAGATGTAATAGGTCATCTTGCTTTTCTGCTCACCACAGGGTAAAACCCCTCTTAGCAAAGCCTCTAAGAACCTCGGGAGCCACTATGAAGAGATGACAGTTGGGGAAGAGGCTGAGATAATTGCTTCCCAGTGGAAAGTTGATGTATGGGGATTCTCTAGAATTTGGGGGAGTAATCACAGGATAACCGAATAGAGGCAATTATCGCCTTCGCTGTAAATCTAACGATACTGTGTCACTGCACAGATCTCATGCTGTCCCCCAGATCTCCTTTCCTCTGTTGTTCCAATTCATTTTAAAGGGAGGCTGCTATGGGATTTCCTATCAGAAACGTTTGTTCACCTCAGTCTTCTAAATGGGCATCTCAAGAAGAAAACACGAAGCCACACATTTGCCTCTTTCCCAAGTATACTGCACGATGGGAGCCGCTCTGTGTCCCAAAGTCAAGCCGTACCTCTGTGTTCAGGGAGCACTCAAGAAAGAAAAGCCACCCAAAGGCCCCCTTGCTCTTGGACACCATTTGTATGGTCCTTTCCTCACGAGCTAGGGAAAGACAAAATATGCCTCTCGCCAGTCTTGGCTTCAGCATTCTCTGCCTCCTGCATCTGCTTGTCCCTGTCACTGCTAATGAGCATTGTAATTAATAGATCTCTCTCCTTGTCCTCCTGCCTGCTCTTTGGGCTAAGCACGCTCCTCAAGTCAACGTTTGAAAGAAAGCGGGTCGGCTCTGACTTACAGCAGCCCTGTGAATTCCTTTTAATTTAGAACTCTTACAATACCACTTCACTGATTACCTTATAATTACCGGACTGCTCACACATACATTATGATCTTCAACTACAGTTAGAAGTTATTAGGCTACTAAACCATAGACGCTCTCCTCGTCCAGCCTCTCAGGCTATAACAATTAACTCTTTCAGTCTGTCTGAGGAGGTACTGTCCTTTGCTCAACCCCCTGCCCTCCCGGGGGGAGTTACTTTGAGCTGCTTGAACACAAAACCCATCCTTTCTTCTCCAGGAACCCCTCCCCACTTCTCTATAACCTCTATGACCTCTCATCTCAATTTTCATTCCCACAGGCCTTTTCTCCAGGGTGTCTACCATTCACAGACTCTTGATTTAAGAAAGAAGGCCAGAAATTTCCATTCTATCTGTGAGACAGTTATTTGCTAAGTCACCAAATGTGTACTAGTCAAAGGTATGTTGTTCAGGTCCATGAAAAACAGGGAATCTCGAAGTTAGCTAGCTGTCTCTTTCAAATTCTCAGTCCATAATTTTACTATAACCCGGATGCCAGCTGAGAGATTCAGCTGTCAGAGAAGTCCTTGGAACCAGGGCAACATCTTCTAAATGAAGGCCAGCTACTTTAGCCATAAATGAAAACGAACAAACTGGATTTTCGCTATAGGTTGTATGTGATTCTTTTCCAACAGGAACTGTGTCCTTAGTTAATAATTTTTGCCTAGCAGAAATACTAATTAGATTGTCAGTTATTAGGGCTTCTGATGTGTGCCAAGCTGAGCATTTCACATAACGTAACTCATTTAATGTCTGACACAGCCCTGTGTGTGTGTGTGTGTGTGTGTATGTGTGTGTCTGTGTGTCTGTGTCTGTGTGTCTGTGTGGGTGTTGGGAGGTATTTTTAAAAAATTATGCCTCAGATGTTCTGAAGTGTATTGAAGGTTATATAGTCAGGAAATAGCAGAGGTGGGATTGGAACTCATGTCTCATTCCTAAGTTCAGAGCAGAAATGTCTAGAAGCCAACAGAGTTTTCCATGGGGCTTACTCATTTTCTAAAACATAGCCAAGGGACTGGAGAGACGACTCAGTGGCTAAGACCATGTGTTGTTCTTGCAGAGGACCCAAGTTCAGTTCCCAGCACCCAAGTCAGACAGCTCACAACTGCCTGCAACTTCAGCTCGAGGCACTCCAATGCCCTCTTCTGGCCTCTGCATGTTCTGCACTGACATGAGTGTACACAGACATAGTCATATACATGTAATTAAATGTCTTTAATTAACAAGCTTTAAAACACAGCTTAGCTGGGCCTAGAGGCACACACCTTTAATGCTGCCTACTAAGGGGACAGACTGAAGCAGGAAGATTACAAGTTAAAGACTTGCCTGGGCTACAGAGTAAGTTTAAGGCTATCCTGGACAACTTAGATGCTGTCTCAAAATATAAAATACAGGGATGGGGAGGTAGCTCAGGTAACAAAGTGCTTGCTTTGCAAATACAAGGACCTGAATTTGACTCCAGGTCCCACATTAAAAATAAAACAGTTGGACATTGGTAGCTCACATTTATAATCCCCAGATTGAGAAGGCAGAGACAGGTGGATCCCTGGGTCTTAATAGCCAGCTAGCTTAGCATACTTGGCAAGTAACTTTCACACTAGTGAGACACCCTGTCCCTATAAACAAACAAACAAACAAACAAACAAAAAAACTCCACAAAGTGGACAGCACCTAAGGATGATATCCAAGATTGTCCTCCAGTCTCAACATATAAGTATACACACATGTACCTGGACAGACACACATGAGCACGTACACACACACACACACACACACACACACACACACATGGAGCTTAGGAGTAGTAGGGCACTTGCCTAGCACGCATGAGGCCCTGAGTTCAATCCCTAACAGTTGCAATGGAGCTTAGGAGTAGTAGGGCACTTGCCTAGCACGCATGAGGCCCTGAGTTCAATCCCTAGTACGGCTAAATAAATAAATAGGAAAATAAAAAATAGCTGAGCCAGTGGGAATGGAGATGCTACAAACAGAGGCCTCCACTTTGGTTTCCTCGCACCTCATCCCCTGCTCGCCCTTAAGTACAAAGGAGACAGAAGGGCCACTGCCCTGGCTGCTGGTCTGCCCTGTTGAGTCACCTCCTCATGGTTTGGAGCGATGCACAAACAGAATCCTGAATGAACACCCTTGTCTCTTAAGCACACTGAACTCATTACACTGAGCATTTCCTAGACGCCATTACATTATAACCTCAAACCACAGTGAGTCTTAATTCTCGAGCTCTCTGTCTCTGAAATTCTACAGCTCTATTATTCAAGCCTGAAATATTCACAACTATCTATAAATTCAATTGTCAGCTGGTGGGTTTTATTCTAGACTTCACTTCAATCTAAAATTAGAGGCACTAAAATTCACATTAACTCTAAGAGGAATGCAGTGAATAAGTCTTTATTTCAAAAGAACACCTTTTTGTCAGAAAGAGCCATTTTCAAGATGATGGCTTTATCTGTAGCCAAAGAGAATAAAGACCAATTCCACATTGTGCTGTTAATGCAGAAATTTTAGGTCACATTGGATTAATAAAAAATCTAAATTTAGCTAAGAATTATGAATAGAAATAACATGTGTCAAAATGTGTGGGAAATATTTATTTTAAAGCTTCAGTACAGATTACATTTATTTTATTATTTTAGGAGAAAAGAGGAGGAAGATACAGGAGTAAGGGAAACTGCTTTCTAAAAATCCGAGAACAAAATAAAGGGAAAATACTTCAAGAACAATATTCAGGGCCCTAGGGATATTGCTCAGGGGTAGAAGGCTTGCTTAGTATATACAAGGTTCTCTGAATTGTTCATTTCTTTTCTAAAACTGAAAATAACATTTTTATATGAGAAACCATATTTGAGAAACTTAACAGCCTTCTTGAAATTTTGATACTTTAAAAAGCACTTGCGGTAGAGTTTAAGGCACACTCTCAAACAATTCTGACACTCACATTTCAACACAGGAACATGTTTCCCAGCCTGGCCTACGGGTCTGCAAGTGTAAATTTTGGTGTTGGACATTAAAGATCGGGAAAATCAAACTTCTTA